GCTCCTTCCTGAAGTTGGGCGAGAAAACCTGACGCAGAAGATGCTGAAAGGTGTCCACTCGAGGCCCCTGCACTCCCCACCTGGGGGGAGAGGGGACGTCACCTCTCAGGCGGCTGCAAAGAATGGACCTCATCCAACCCAAGATGCCATTCATTTGAGTGCCCATCATTTTAGGGACCATGAAGGGCAAAAACGCTGCTGATAAATCAGGATAAACCATCGATTGTTAGACATGGCACAGCTTTGGGGATATTAAAGTGTGGAAACACATGTGCATCACAGATGAAATACAGCCAGAGTCCAGGTGGGCGGCCCCCCTCTCTGAGCCAGGGTCCCCTGGCCCACACCTTCCCTGGGAAGGAAGGATGAGGGTTCACCAGGACCCACAGGCCTCTGCTCACTCGTGCCAGGTGTCTGTGTGAGCAGAGGAGAGGGCGCTGTCACCAGAGGACTGGGGGAGCGAGAAGGGGGCTCTGTCAGTAGAACGTGGAAAGCCACCGCCACCCACAGTGGCTGCAGGTAACAAAGCCACAGCCCAGCACTGCCTGTCAGCCCCTGGCCACTGATCTGGGTCACAGAGGATGGCAAGCAGAGGACCTGCCCTACCCCCTCCCCATTCCTTAGCTTCCTGTGTTCAGAGATGGACTCACCAAGGAATGGAGGGCTGAGGGAGAGAGAAAGAGGGGGTGTAGGGGCCTGACACCTGGAGCTGTCAGCACCCAGGCAGGGAGGTGGGAATGTGGGAGGAGCCCCGAGGCCCAGGGCCCAGGAGAACCCAAGGGAGGAGCATGGCTGCAGCCCAGGGACTCAGGGAGCCTGCGGGGGAGGGGAGTGGGCATCTGTGCCAGGGCTGCCAACAAGCCCTTCACCCTCCCAGCAGGGGGAGTGCCAGCCACTGACAGCTGCCAGGTCAGCCCTCTCCCCTGTGAGTGCTCTTGGCTGAAGGGAACCTCCTCTCTCAAGGTCACCCCATTTCCTGAAGAAGCTTGCATGCAGTGACCGGGAAGTGCACAGCGTAAAAGATACTCCCGTCGCCCCCATGGGACCTGGTGCAGGGGCTGTGGATGGAGCCCAGGCAGGGGGCCAGGACATTTGAAAGGTGACACAGTTGCTGGGGACCCACGTTTGACTAGGGCAGTGCAGGCCCCCTTCCGATGTGCAGAAAAAAGCACATCTGAACTCCAGAAAAGGCCGGGTTGGCCCCCTGTAGGTCTGTATCTGACTGCATGTGTGCGAACATGAATGCAGGTTGCATATCCATGTGTGTGCATGGAGGTCTGAGAAGGCTTATGTGTGTTTACACCTGGGATGTGACATGTGGTTATGAGTGTGCATGGATGAGTGTGCATGTAGGTGTGAGTGTGTGCATACAGGCGGGCATGTTCACCAGTGAGCCTGTGTGAGGGTTCAGACAACTCACGGAGGCAACTCAAACTGTGCCCTCTCCCTCGCCAGCTCCAGGCTCTCCCTGGGCTCTGATCCTCTCCTAAGCATTTAAAACAGCTCCTTCTCCTTACATCTCAGCCTCTTCCAGGAAGCCTTCCTTGGTGAAGCCAACACAAATTCCAAGTGTTCTATTTAAAAAAATATATTTTTATTGATTTCAGAGAGAAGGGTGGAGGGAGAGGAAGATAGAAAGTTCAATGATGAGAGAGAATCACTGATTGGCTGCCTCCTGCATGCCCCACACAGGGGATCAAGCCTGCAACCCAGGCTCATGCCTTTGCTGGAATCAGACCCAAGACCCTCCAGTCTGCAGGCTGACGCTCTATCCACTGAGCGAAACCAGCCAGGGCCCAGCCTCTCTCTCCTGTCGTGGTGTGTTCTCACCAATGACTTACGGGTTCGCTTGGCTCTCTGTTTCTTTTGTCCCCATCAGACGGGAGCTTCCTGGGGGTGGGGTTGTCCCAACAGGAGACTGGGAGGTGCCCAAGCATGGAAACTGCTTCTAGGCCCACAGGGGACTGGACTCCTCCTGACTCTGTCTCCCAGACTGAGCTCCAGAAGCCTGGGAGGGGGCAGGGACCACACTCCCTGCTCCAGCCCCTTCCTGGCTCCTGATGACCTGGGGGAGTCACACCGAGTGAGCTGTGGGCCTGGGGTGGGAACCTGGGTCTCCATCCTGACTTGTGTGACTTGGGAGGCTCTGGGCTTCTGGGCTCAGGTGCCTCCTCTGCATGTGAGGGGTTCGGAGGCGGCCTAGGGCCCTTGGCCTGCACAGCTCTGTTGGCATCCAGTCTCCTAGGTCCTGTGCAGCTCCTTTCTTCCTACTTCCTGCCCTTGAAGCCTGTGAGCCAGATGATTTCACTCCATATTTAATTGAGGAACATTTTGTAAAGAAATGAGGGCAGAGGTGAGCTAAAGTGCTTATCAGACAGCGAGGATTGAACTCACAGGGACAGGGAGGGATGGTTATAAGGTTCTGCAGCCAAACACTGGGGCCTCCAGGTCCAGGGTGGGGAGGAACCAGCAGGGAGGAGCTGCTGGGGAGTCAAGAGCCAGGACACAGCCAGAGTCCAAGGCGGCTCTCCTTGTGGAGTGAAAGCCCAGCAGGAAACCTCTTCAGGCTGCCAAGGGGCCTGACAGAAGGTTCTCTCCTGCCCTTGTCCCCATGGCCACCTCAGCTCAGGAGTCCTGCAGACAGAGGACAGTGCTGTTCCCAGGCCCAGCCAGCAGGGGCGCTGCCCTCCCAGGCCTCCTGCTGTGGCTCCCAAGTGAGAAGAAAAGCTCTGAGGCCACAGGAGCCAAAGCTGCTTTAGAGCTGCCTCTCACAGGCGGAGGAGACACTGCAGTGTAAGCGGCAGCAAGAGCCACACCCAGGCTCCCGCTATCTGTCCCCTGGCTCGTCCCCTGCACCTTCTGTTCTAGGGAAACCGAATGTGTCCCTGAGAGAGGATTAAAGAGCGTTACCTGTGGGCTGAAGTCCAGAGTGTCCTGGGAAGAGAAGGAAGATGCCACTTAAAAGGTATGAAGGTAAGTGTGTCCCCAAACAGAGGGTCCCCCGCCCAGGCCACCTGAGCTTCTCCAGTAGCACCCCCACCCGCTGACACCAGAGCAGAGACCAGAGCAGAAGCTGAGAGCAGTGGACCCGAAGCTGTGACCGTCCAGTGTCATTAGTGACCGCAGGGCCTGCTCCTCCATGTACCCCAGGATCTGCACCCAAATCCCCGTGCGTGTTAACCCCTCTCTAACCCCACAGCCATGACTCCTCATGTCTTAACCCTAAGAGCCAGGACCTGGTTATTTCTGCATTTCCAGGACTCGTGAGACCAACAGGGAAAGAGAGGCTTCTATGGCGTTGCCATACCCAGAGCTCACCCAGCAAAGCCCCAGGTCTCCCCACCGTCTCGGGGCCTCGGCTGCCAGCAGCTCCTCACCTTTCTGAGCCCTGAAGTAGATGAGCAGCCCCGCCCCGAGGAAGAGCAGGCCCAGCACGAAGCCCCCGGCTCCACTCAGCACCTTGCTCTGTGCGGATCCAGACTGGGCCCCTGAGAGAAGAAGCTGGTTTCAGTGGGTTTTGGCCCAAAGCAACTTCTCTAATGGAGACCCTGGGATTGAGAGCTTGCGGGGAGGAGGGGGGTTGGGGAGTGGGGAGGCTGCCCTAGAAGAAGCAGAACAATAGCCATTTCCAGGAAAGAGACTGAGGTCACACTGAGCAGGAACAAGGCCCAGGCACTGGCCTCAGGTCCCCTCACATCCGACCCAAGGCCACTGCTTCGGCCTCTGAGGCTGCGGAGCCCGGGACTTGTGACCTTCAGGACTTGGCCCGGGTGACAGAGCCGCAGACGGCAGAGCAGACAGGGCTCTCCCGCGGCAGGAAGGTCCCCACACTGTGGAGGACGCACCTCTTCCCAGATCACAGTGGGCAGCTCAGCGCAGGCAGAAGCACCCGCCCAGCCCACAGGGGATGGTGCCCAGGGCCAACGGGCACCATGACTGGGAGAGTGTGATGAATTCAAAGCAGGGCAGGCATGGCGGCCTCCCAGGGCTATGGGTGTTCACAGAAGCGATCACAGGGCTACCCTGTGGCCTGTGCTGAAGGAGAGACACGAGCAAAGGAAAACGGGGTGTGGGGAGAGGGGACCCTGAGCCTCAGGGACAAGCAAAGGACCCTGGGCGGGGGGGTAGGCGTGTGAGGTCAGAAGGCGTCTCACTCCATTCCACAGTGACAGGGCTGGTGCTGCTGGGGTGCCGCACTTGGCAGGTGTAGACCTCCCCGCTCCGGGGAACTGTCTCCAGCATCACCAGGGTCTGGAAGGTCCCCCCGTTCCGCCGGATCAGGCCCGTGGACACCACCCCGGCCTCCTCTTCCTGGCCGTTGCGCAGCCAGTGGACCTCAATGTGGCCCGGATAGAAGCCATTCACGGAGCAGACCAGGAGGTTGTGGTGCTGCAGGCGCTGGGTCTTTGCAGGATACAAGGTCACTGTGGGCTCAGCTGGGACAGAGAAGGCGGAGGGAGACGTGAGCAAGACAGGCAGGCCCTTGGTGGCTCCCTTTTGGCCTCGTCTCCAGTCCCAGGCTCCAGGCTCCAGGCACCCCCTCCTACCGCCCTGTGGCCCAGCAGGAGGTAGTGCCATGGGCCTTGAATCTCCGTCTACAGCCCGGGCCACTGGATTTGAGAGACTCTGAGGAAATTTGTGTGGTGTTTTCTTTTTCATATCTTGAAACAGTTACTCATTGTTGAATGAAGTGTTTACAAATTTTTGCGAGGCACAGAGTGTGTGAGTTCCAGTGTGATTTCTGGAGCAGGGCTGCCTGGTCACATCCAGGCTGTGCCTCTTACTGGGTGATCCTGGGAGATCCTCTCTGCTCAGCTCCTCACCTGCAAAGGGGGTGATAATACTAACTCACCACTTAAGGACATATGAGGATCAATGGGCCTGAAATATGTACAACAGCGCCTGGAACGTAGCCGTCACTGTATGTCAGCTGTTTATCACATATGGAAAGAGAACATAAGGAAAGCAGAGGGAGAAGCTGGGGAACAGCTTGAGATGGGGACGACTCAGGGTGTGAAGTCCTGGGATTGTGATCACACCTGAGAACAGAGATGGTTCCCCTGGAAGCAGGAACGACGGGGGATTCCCTAGCTCCGGGGGCTGAGTCCTGAGGGAGAGGGAGGAGCAGGGCAGCATCATTATAACACTGACAGTGACACTCACTGAGCAACCCGCTCCTTCTCAAAAGAAGCCGACCTGTTATTGGGATTGTTGTCATTTTATAATTGTCTCTCTTTTCAAGTTGACATTTGAGCTCAGGGAAGGGGCTGGGTCTGGGACTCATTAACATGTGTGCTTCCTGCTTGATACTAGGCTCAATAAATACAAATTTGGAGGAGGAGGAGGAGAAGGAAAAATTGGAGGATGCAGAGGAGGAGGAGGAAGAGGAGTATAAGGAGGAAAAAGTAAAGGAGGAGAAGGAGGAAAAAGTGAGGAGGAAGAGAAGGAGAAAAAATGGAGGAGAGGAGTAGGAGGAGTAGGAAGAGGAAGAGGAGGAGGAGGAGAAATAAGTGGAGGAAGAGGAGGATAAGGAGGAAAAAGTAAAGGAGAAGGAGGAGAAACAATTGGAGGAGAGGAGGAGGTGGAGGAGGAAGAGGAGGAAAAGGGGGAGGAGAGGAGGAGGAGGAGGAGCCTGGGGGAAACATTTTTACTGTATCTCAAAAGGGTAGATTTATGATTGATGGTAAGTCATTGTTAGCGACTTCTAAGTGCATTTCATTACCTTAAAGATGTTTAAATTCTTAACATGAAAAGTTATAAAACAGAATCAAAACACAAGCCAGGAGCAGGAGAAAATGCTGAATCAATGTTAGCAAAGTGTCCGTCTTGCTGCCTAGAGAACCCGAAAAATCACTGAGAAAAGGCCTGGACCCCAGGGATGATGGGAAATAGTCAATTCTTAGAGCAGAACAGTCATTAGCCAACACAAACGTGAAAAATATTCAAGAACCTTAGAAATCAAAGAAGGATAAATTTAAAGTAAAAAATAATTTTTCAACTGAGTATTTGGCAATATTGAATAAGATAAAAACAGATCACAAAATAGATTGTCAGAACCCTAAACAGTTAACATGTAATTACTTAAATGCTGTCAGCCTGTGTAGATGTGACATCAGTGTGTTAAGTAACACAATTACAATTAGACCCTGGCTCCCCATCACCCCCTCTGTAAACACAGGGGCACTGAGGGGGGAACAAGACACTGAGACCTGAAAGGAGCTCAGAGAGGCCAGAGGTGCCGCGGAGGCCCCGCCCCTCACTCCCAGCCTGACTTTCCGCCCCGGGACAGGCTTGGGCACCCAGCACCCCTATTCCAGGGCTCAGGGTAAGGGGGGGTTTGGCCAAGACAGACCGACTCCCTCCTTCCACCTCCCTCTGCCTCCCTCCCCGCTGCTCCCCAAACCCTCCCCTGACTGGACAGGCCTGGGCACCCCCAGGAACGCCCCTACACAGGACAGGACCACAGGGTCCCCACAGCCGCCCTCAGGCCCCTCATGGGTGCTCCTCACAGCCCTGTGTGCGCACCCCCGCACCCTCCTACGCCACCAGTCCCCTCTTCTCCCACCCCCGCCTCCGCGCTCACTTTGCCGATGCACCAGGAATCTCTCAAACTCCACGTAGTTGTGTCTGCAGAGCGTGACCACATAGCCCCGCTTCTCCTCCAGGAGGCCCTCCTGGCTGTTCCAGTGCTCAGCGATGGGCCGCCCCAGCTCAGTCACCGCGCTGAACTCCCCCACGTTGCTGTCGAAGCGCACGTCCTCCTGCCCGTTGTAGAAGAATCTGTACAGGTACTGCACCCGCTCCGTCCCGTTGGAGAAATGACACTCTTGTATAAGCTGATGCAGGAAATGTGCTGCGGGGACAGGAAGGAACCGTCATGCTGGTGACAGAAGATGGCGACGCCGCCCAGTGCTGGGCGCCCAGGCGGTGGGGACACAGGACCCGGCACCCCCACAGCCAGCGCCCGGGGCCCCTTCTCTGGGCTGGAGGGAGGCCGCAGGGCAGGGAGACCCCTGGGACCCTCAGCCCCTGGGCACCCACTGGGCTGCCCCGGGCTCCAAGCTGGGCCAGGACTTGTGCCATCACCGCCTCCTCCTAGACGCCACCCCCTCACCCCCAGCCTCACCCTTCCCCACACCTGCCTCCTCCTGTCACCCCCTGGGCAGGGGACCTCGTGCCAGGCCCCAGATGCCCCAGGACCCAGGAAGGAAACCGGGCATCGCCCTCCACTCTGCAGCTTAGAATTCACCAAAGTGCCCATCACAGCCCAACCACAGGCACATCCACACAGGAGGGAGCTGGCAGGAAAGGGGCCCCTGGAGCAGGGACCACAGGGTCCAAGTCCCATCAGGGGCGGGGCCAGGGCCTCTGAGTGACAGGATGTGGGGGAAGGTCGCTGTATGTGGGGGAGGGGGCACATCTCAGGTGAAGGCAATGCCACCTGCAAAGCCTGAGAGAACCCATGGGCCTCCTGGGAAACCAGAGAACCGGCTCTGAGCCCAGACAGTGGGAGGGAAGGGACAGGAGCCTGGAGGAGGTGCCCCCACGTCGCTGTCGAAGCGCACGTCCTCCTGCCCGTTGTAGATGTATCTCTCCAGGTACCGCACCCGCTCCGTCCCGTTGGAGAAATGACACTCGGACTTCCTCTGCACCAGGAAATGCCCTGCGGGGACAGGAAGGACCCATCACGTCACGCGGGTGAGACAAGATGGCGACGCCGCCCAGTGCTGGGCGCCCAGGCGGTGGGGACACAGGACCCGGCACCCCCACAGCCAGCGCCCGGGGCCCCTTCTCTGGGCTGGAGAGGCCCTGACTGAGGACAGGGGGCTCCCCACGATGCAGGACTCATGGAGGAGAGACGCAGAAGGTCAGCAGAGATGAGTGACCACAACGGATGGCGTTTTGACAAATATTGCATGAGGCAAAGTATAAATCAACATCTTGAGCTTCAATTGATTGAATGGATTCAACAAGAAAGTGGTGAGTTTGTGTAACTGTCTAGTTTTTTTCTTAATAAACCACAAAGAATTGCATTGGATGGTGCGTGTGTATAAAGTGTGAGTCTAGAATTTTCAGGAACAGCCGGTGTCCAGCTGTGTTCTCAACCTCAACACTATTGACGTTTGGACCAGATAATTCTGTGAGGTGGGGGTGGGTGTTCTGTACACAGTGGGCTGGACTCGGCATCCCAACCAGTTGTCAGAGAAACCCCCGTGTGACAGTAGACATGGCTTTACATATTGCAGACGTCCCAGGGGTGGGAAGAGGGAGGTGTGGTGAACCGTCTGAAAAATCTGTGGTGAAAAAGCCACTGTTGATTATGCAGCAGCTGGGAATCTCAATAAAAATTTAGCCAATATTGTGTCTGTGGAAAGTCCTGGTCTGTATGGAATTTATATTCTTTAGGAATCTGGTTCCAGTGCAGACTATTTTTCCAGCAAAATGAACTTGTTCAGGACCAAGATCTACCTGTTTCTTTGCGTCGCCACCCAATCACTGAGTCATTATTTATTTCCCACATCATCTTCTTTCTTAATTTCCCGGCCACTGGCTCACTGCTTGTCCACAGGAGCAGCTACAGCCACGGCCATCTGATTCCTGTTCAAAGTCCCAACTAATTCCCGTTCTACCTGCCTCCTGCTCCCAGTAATACCAGGAGGCATCAGGTTACCAGTCTTGGCAGGATGTGGACTCTTATTTCTACAGGCAGGTCCCTCAGAAGGGGAGCAGCTGAGATGACCCCCTCACAGAGACAGATTACAAAAAGGAGCAGGTCCCAGACTTTAGATGGAGACCTTCACATAGAAGTGATGGCAGAGAGGAGGGCACTCTGGTCAGACTCAATCTATCTAACTTTTCACCAATTCTCTAGCACCTTCCTGACACATGACAAGGTTGAAAAATAAACATGTGTAAGTTGCTGTTCATGGTAGCCTGTGTCATTAGCACTATCAGGCCATGTTCATGGGCTGAACTGAAAGGACATCAGATAAAGCAAATAAAAATATACAATTCCCAGCACATTTGGATTTCAGATATATAATTGTTGTTTCTCTGAAATTCAGCTTAAATCAGGCTCCTGTATTTCCTTTGGCAACACAAGCCCAGCCTCTGATGAAAGCTGAGGCAGAGGCGTGCTTTTAAACTTCCTAGTGTTCTTCACGTGCCCACAATATTGTGTGAGCCCATATGGAACTTTTCAAGTTGTAAATGCAAACTGGATGTAAATTCCTTCTGTATATTGGAACTAGCAGCCCTTGCACCTGCTGCCCCCAACCCTGAGACACACGCTGGCCCATGGGAACATCAGAAATCTCAGCAGCAAGTCAGACCCAGCCAAGCCCCTGTTCACAGTGGGGGTGGAAGCCCAGGCTCTAGAATGAGGAATCTAAATTAGAACATTAGCTCTCCCACTGGGTCAGATTGTAGCACCGAAGGGCCTTGTTCTTTATCTCTAAAATAGATTCATTGATACTGTATTCCTCACAGGATATTGTTAAGTATGAAATTAAATAGTGATTCTTCCTAGTGCTGATCATATAAGCACTCAATAAAAATCTTGCTCATAAGATCTTTTTATTCCTTAACTTCCTAGATCAAATAATGTTTTCATCACCATTTGGAAATTGTCTTTAATTAATTTTATCACTAAATATCATTTTGAACACAAGGACAAAAACATTGGCCTCTGTATATAACAGGATATACATGCACCTACTATGAAAGGACTATGCTGACATAGAAGAGAGGGACTTCCTAGATACTGAGATCTAGACTATGTCACCTGGTTCTACAACTAACCATGTGAGTCTGGGTAAGTTGCTTAAACTCTCTGAATTAGATTCCATGGGTGATTACATTTGTAATTGCTGCAGGTGAGACAGGATGGTTATGAGAGTCACACACTCAAATGTAGGCCTGGTGCATAGTAACTGCCCATGTGACGCTGCTCCATGCCACAGGGACCAGATTTGTCTTGTCCATGACTCCACCCTCATCCCCAGATGACTGTCTGCTCTGGTGACTAATAAACGGTGGCTGTGGAATTGGTGGCTTTCATAACAGTCACCTCTGCCTTCAAGGTCACTCCCGTGGCTCCTTGCTGATGACTGAGCATCTCTGGTTCTCGAGTTCCCAGCTTCTCTTCAGGCTCCTTTGTTCTTATGCTTTGGTCCAGCTGACTCCCTGAGCCCAGCGCACAGTCTCCCTGAGGTCGCTGCTCAGAGGCACCTGTAATCATCCCTCATGTCTTCAGCTCCCGTCCTCTCTTCAAACGGTCCAATCAGGTTACATCTCATACACTCACTGACGGCGAACTTCACGTCCACCAAACCCAGTGCTCACTGCTCTGCATGTCCTCACTGCCCTGCCTCCTAGTGGTTCTCACCACACCTGCACTCCCTCCCCTGGAAAAATCGACTTCCCCTCACTGCCCTGCATCACCTTCTCTTGGTTTTCCTCAACACACTGGACCCTTCTCAGTCTCCTCTGCTCTCATTGGCCCTTGATTTTCTGGGATCAGCCCTTGGCATATTATCTGCTTCTCTCTCTCTCTCTCTCTCTCTCTCTCTCTCTCTCTCTCTCTCATCACCTCCACTTCCCTGGATTTTAACACAGCACACATACGCAAGGACACCAACACATACACCTTCAGCCCTGACCAGCCCTGAACTCCAGGCTCCCGTAGTCAACCGACCTCTTGACAGCTCCACACAAATGTCAAAAAATCATTTCAAACTTACACAAAACCTTTATTCCTAACCACCCCCTTCAAATTACTTCTTACACAGCCTTTTCTATCTCAGTGAACAGCTCCACCAAGTTTATTCTAATTATTGAAAATAAAATCCTTAGGGATTTTGACTCCTCCCCCATTTAATCCATTAACAAGTCATGGAAATATCTCCCCCAGATCTGCTCACGTCCCCTTTCCCGCTGCCTTTGCCGCACACACTAACTGACGCCCAAGCACGTCACCTGGGAGTTCTTCCATGCTCCTCAAGGGCCCCCCGACTCCTCTTGTGAACCCTGCAATCCAATCTTCACCTGGTAGCTATAATCATTATCTTTATATAAAAAACCCTAATATGCAAATAGACCCAATGGCAGAACAACTGGTTGCTATGATGTGTGCTGACATGAAATGGGCACATGGAACATGGCGGGCATTGGCCGTGGTGGGATGGTGGATCAGGTGAGCGGGGACGCTGGTCACTGTCATCAAGGTGAGCCTCTGGTGGTTACTAAAAATTCCTTGCTCCCACGTGCCGTATTCCCACCAGGTGCTTGCACCTGCTTCTGCTGCCTGCACCTGCTACCAGCACCAGGCCCACTAGCCCCTGAGGGCTTCTCCACCTCCCCCTGCTCCTGAGGGGTGATCAGGGTAGCAGCCACTGCTCACATCCGCTGCTGGCACTGGCCCCAATTGCTCTGCACCATCAGTGGGTGTGAGCTGGGCTGGTGCTATTGACAGAGTGGGAGTGGCATCAGCAGGAGCAGGTCTGCAGGCTGACAGGAAAGGAGACCAAGGGCCCTGGTGGGAGGGACCAGGCGGAGGGGGGTGCAGAGGATGGGCTGAGACCCATCCCTGTGCCCACCGCAGCCTCACAGCCTACAGTTCCTTTCAAGGTGCATGAATTTATGCACTGGGCCCTAGTTTTTAAGATAAATATACATGGACTCTCCTTGTAACCCTCTAGCAGTTCACATACCTCTTCAGGTAAAATTCAAATTTCTTACCCTGCCTGCCAGGGCCCAATATGATTTGTCTCCTGTCTTCCCCAGCCTCTTCCTATGTTAATGTCACTTCCCAACTTGCTTGTGTGCTGCAGCCTCGCTAGCCTTCTTTCTGCCCCTTCAACACGGAAATCACATTCCCACACTTCAGCCTTTCCCTCTTCCTCTCCCTGGGAAAATTGTCCCCTAGATCTTCAGAAAGCTGTTTTTCTCATCATCCAGGTCTCAAATATTACTTCCTCAGGGAGAGCTCCCTAACAACTTGAAGTGACGTTACGTGAATCCATGCTCTCTGTCCCATAACCCTGGGGTATTTTTTATAGCAATTATTGCTCTGAACTTTTTCTTTCTTAAGGGGCTCATGGAAAAAGGAAAGGAGATGGTGGGGAGGCCCCTTGATACATCTCACATAGTAGGGAGAGGCACCAGTATCACAGATTATGCTGAGGACAGAACACAGGATCCTCAAAGAGAGACCCTCTAATTCCTTTGACTCCCCATAAAACGTCAGAGAAACGTTCCTCTTGGGGATAACTCAATACAGTAAATGGAGCACTGGGTGGGAATTAGTCTGAGATCATTATTTCTCAATCCTCTCAGACCCCGATGGAAGGGGACACAGGCTGGGGAGGGTTACTGGAGGTGAATTGAGAAGAAATGTCTGAGATACATGGAGCCCCTTGCATTCTCCTAGTGGCAACCACCAGCATCTTTTGTGGTGGAAAGAATCAGGACCCATATGGTAAAGGTAGGTGGCCCTGGAGAAAATGCCACCATTTTCTAATGGACATGGCCTGGACACGGTGACAAAGCTAATTCCCTTTCTTCCTCCCCCCACAACAGCTCACCCCCAAGGTGCACTTACATGGTGTGTCCCTGGCCTGAGCCAGGGGAGGGCTCAGTGCCATCAGCATCACCTTCAGAGCAGCCATCCAGGAGCCTCTGGGGACCCGCAGACACACCATGCTGGAGCTCAGAGAGGACAGGGGCAGGGAGCAGGGGGGGTCTCACTCAGTGAGGACTGTGACCCTTCTCCACCCACATCACCAAAAACACCAACTGAGGAACTCATTTGTTTGTTCCATGATTGGATCATCTCAATCCTGAGAACCAATGAGCACCAGAGATGAATAGCATCATCTGTTGCTGGTCAGAGATTCAGTATGTAGTTTCTCTTCTGAGATTTAAAATTTCCTGCATTAAAAGCATAGCTTTGATTTAGTGCTTTGAAGGTTTGGTCTGGTTGTGTCAGAAACACTGTATTGGGCCCTATTGTGAGGCAGCTCTGCACTGGTCAGTGTTGAGCACACAAGTTGGAGCTTTTGGGAGCATTTGCCTCTCTCACTGCAGACAGAGCAGTTTTGCAAATGGATGTGAGTGTGCTGGGAGCTGAGGGTGAGGGAGGTGATTGCAAGTTAGGAGGCCTTCAGTTTTGTCCTATTTTTTAAAATATTTATTGTTGAAACTATTACATAATTACCTATGTCCCCTTTTTCCCCATTGACCTCTTCTAGCCCTCCCCCGCTCCCACCCCCACCTCAGGCTCTCACCACCCTATTATCTGTGTCCCTGGGTTATGCATACACGCATACAAGTTCTTTGGTTGATTTCTTCCCCTGCCACCCACCCTCCCCTGCCTTCCCTCTGTGATTCTATGTCTCTGAATCTATTTTGTTCATCAGTTTATTTTGTTCATCGGATTCTACATATGAATGAGATCATGTGATACTTGTCTTTCTCTGACTGGCTTATTTCACTGTTTTACCTCAACTTAGTGTTGCAGACTTGAGGAAATGACTTAACCTCTTACAGTTAAAGCCACTGTGATCTTTCAGGTGGGAAAGACTGTGATTCCGTGGACACCTCGAGGAGCAGCTTCCCCTAGTAACTGATGACATGACAGGCTGATAGCTGCTGATTGGACAGTATAATCTGTGACTCTTTACAGGGAGGGATGTCACTGACTGAAGGAAAATGAAAGTTATTCAATAATTATCCCGAGTGAAAGGTTTTTCAGGTTTCTCTCCTGGTGCTGTCACTGAGTACAGGGCCCATCCAGAACACACTGGAGAAAGAGGCTAGAGTATGCGATCTGTGTGGGATGGAGGGAAAGTGCCTTTGGGACAGCACTTACCCCACCAGTGTGATCAGGCCAACTGTCCAAACCAAAGTGCACAAGGGACTGGGAGACTGAGAAAGGACTCAAAGCAGCTCTGCATTAGAATAGCTAGTACTTCATGTGAAAAGCATTCAGTTCTTTACTCCTGGTCCGCGTTAGGATTTTCTCATTTTCTTGGGGGCATGTCCTCTTATTTAGTCAATTTCTCTTGCTTTATTCTAGGAAAAGGTAGAAGAAGACATTGTTAATGAAATTATTATAGAATATTCAGGAAATGGAACTCAGTGGGAAACTAGGAAGTACATTCTTTGATGTCATCATGTGATTTACAACATCTAGTTCTACGTTACATAATCAGTACACGTTATACTAGCATACATGTACCTCTCAGATCCTCAATCAACTTGAAAGGACAGCTGTCCATTTAAGTTTTGCATTAACTCTCAAGCCCCAGTTCTGACGTGCAGTCCTCCACGTGCCTGCATGTGTCTAGTGACAGGATACTGACCATGCTGCAGCGAAAGGACTGCAACTGAGGGGGAGAAATGGATGAAGCTAAACCAACTGAGCTACACCTGCCAGGGCTTCCTTGGTTAAATTTATTCCTAAGTATCTTCTTCTTTTTGATGCAGTTATAAGTGGGATTGTTTTCTTAATTTCTCTTTCTGATAGTTTGTTATTTGTCTACTAGAGGCTCTGTGCACGAAATTTGTGCACGGGATGGAGTCCCCTCAACCCAGCCTGCACCTTCTCCAATCCGGACATCCGTCTCACAATCCTGGACCACTGGCTCCTAATTGCTCACCTGCCTGCCTGCCTGGTCGCCCCTAACTGCCCCCCCTCTGCCAGCCTGATTGACTCTCACTGCCTGTTCATGTTGGTATGATAGCCCATAACTGCCCCCCCTGCTGGCCTGGTAACCCCTAACTGCCCCCCACTGCCAGACAGGTTGCCCCCAACTGCCTCCCCCCTGTGGCCTTGTTGTTCCCAACTGCCCGCTTGCCAGCATGGTCACCCATCACAGCCCCCCCACCAGTCTGGTCACACTACACAGCCTGCTGTTCACTCATTTGGTCGTCCCTCACTAACCCCCCTGCCGGCCTGGTCACATGCAGCCATCCTGTGAGGGCATGAGGGTTAATTTGCATATTACCTCTTTATTATATAAGGGTTAATTTGCATATTACCCCTTTATTATATAGGATGGAAATATCAGGTTTCTGAATATTAATTTCGTATCCTGAAACTTTACTGAATTCACTATTAGTTCTAATAGTTGTTTGTTTGTTTTTTTGGACGTTTCTTTAGAGTTCTCTAGATGTAGTATTATGTCATCTGCAAATAATGACAATTTTTACTTCTTTCTTTCCTATTTCTTTTTCTTGTTTTTGTCTGATTGTTGTGGTTAGGACTTACCCTATTGTGTTGAATAAGAGTGCTGAGTGTGGGCATTCTTGTCTTGTTCCTGATCTTAGAGAAAAAGCTTTCATTTTTTCACCATGGAGTATGTTTTTAGCTGTGGGTTTCTCATGTATGGACTTGATTATGTTGAGGTATGTTTCCTGTATGCCCACCTTGCTGAAAGTTTTTTAAATAAATAGATGCTAGATTTTGTCAAAAGCTTTTCCTACATCTATTGATATAGTCATATGATTTTTTAATACTTCATTTTGTTTATGTGGTGTATCATGTTAATTGATTTGTGGAGATAGAACCAAGCTTGCATTCCAGGAATAAATCCCACTTGAAAATGCTGTATGATATTTTTAATTTTGTTAAGGATTTTTGCATCTATGTTCATCTGAGTTATGGGCCAGTCATTTTATACTTCTCTTTCTCCTTCTCTTCTTCCTCCTCTTCCTCCTTTTCCTCCTTCTTCTTCCTCCTCTTCTTTGTCTTCTTCTTCATCTTCTCTTCCTCCTCCTCCTCTACCACCACCTCCTCTTCCTCTTTCTTTGGCAGGGTCTTTGTCTGGTTTTGATATGCTGTCCTCATAAAATAAGTTTAGATACTTTCCCCTCTCTTCAATTTTTGGGAATAGTTTGAGAATGATAAATATCAATTCTTCTTTGAATGCTTGGTAGAATTGAGGTGTGAAGCCATGTGGCCCTAGATTTTTGTTTATTGGGAATTTTTCTTTTCTGATTCAATTTTGACACTAGTGATCAGTCTGTTCAAATTTTATGTTTCTTCCTGATTCACTCTTGGAAGATTATATGGTTTTAAGAATTTATTCATTTCTCCTAGGTTGTCTAATTGTTGGCATATAATTGTTCTTAGTATCTATATATATAAAAGCAAACTGTCCTCTTGGGAGTGTGACCGGCCAGGAGTTGGATCGCTTGCTATGACATGCGCTGATCACCAGGGGGTTGAGCGGAATGAAGGAAGGCCCTGGCTGGCAGCTGGCAGCCACTAGGGCCCCTATCCATGCACTAACTTCGTGCACTGGGCCTCTAGTTTTCTTATAATCTTTTGTATTTCTGTGGTGTTGCTTGTCACTTTCCATTTTTTGTTTCTCATTTTATTTAGTTAGGTCTTCTCTCTTTTTTTCTTAATGAGTCTGGCTAAAGTTTTATCTAATTTGTTTATCTTTTCAAAGAACCAGCTCCTAGTTTCATTGATATTTTCTATTATCATTTAGTCTCTATTTTATTTATTTCTGCTCTGATCTTTATTATTTCATTCCTTGTACTGACTTTGGGCTTTGTTTGTTGTTCTTTTTCTAGTTACTTTAGGTGTAAGTTTAGATTGTTTGCTTGAATTCTTTCTTGTTTGTTGAGGTAGGCCTATTGCTTTGAATGTTCCCCTTAGAACTGCTTTTGCCCTGTCCCAAGGATTTGGGATTGTTGTGTTTTCATTCTCATTTGTCTCAATATATATATTTTTTTACTCCTTGATTTCTTTATTAACCTATTATTTGTTTAGTTCCATGTTGTTTAGTCTCCATGTGTTTTTTCCCCCAATTTTCTTCTTATGATTTATTTCTAGTTTCATACTGTTGTGATTGGAGAAGATTCTTGATATGATTTCAATTTTTATAAAATTTACTGAGACTTTTTCCGTGGACTAGCATGTGGTCTATTCTAGACAAATGGTCCGCACACCCTTGAAAATAAAGTGCATTCTTCTGATTCTAAGTGGAATGTTCTGTATCTGTTCAGTGTATCTATTCTAATGTGTCATTTAAGACCATTGATTCCTCATTGATTTTCTGTCTGAATAATTTATCCATTAATGTACGTGGGGTGTTAAAGTTCCCTGCTATTATTGTGTTACAGTCAACTCTACCTTTATGTTATTAATATTTGCTTTAAATATTTAGGTGCTCTTAATGTTTAATGCATAGATGTTTACAAATGTTATGTTCTTTTGTTAGATTGATCCATTTATCATTATGTAATGCCCTTTATTGTCTTTTACTATAGTCTTTGCTTTAAAGTCTATTTTGTTTGACATAACTATCACTACTGCAGCTTTCATTTTCATTTGTATGAAATACCTTTTTCCATCTGTTCACTTTTTGTCTGTATGTGTCTTTCTAACTGAATGAGTCTCTTATAGGCAGCATATGCACAAGTCTTGTTTTTGAATCCATCCAATCATCCTGTCTTTTGATTGTAATATTTAGGCCATTTACACCTAAAGTAATTATTGATAGGTGTATACTTATTGTCATTTTATTAATTGTTTTCTGGTTGCTTTTGTAGTTCTTTTCTTACTTCTTCTCTTTTCATTTTTAAAAATCCTCACTCAAGGATATTTTCCCATTGATTTTCAGAGAGAGGGAAAGAAAGAGAAAAAATTGATGTGAGAGAAACATATTGATTGGTTGCATCCTGCATGAGCCTGACCAGATCTTAGGCCATGGAGGAGCCTGCAACTGCGGTCGCCCTTGACGGGAATAGAACCAGGGACCC